GTGTATAAGAGACAGGGATTGACCTGTCTGGTGGGGGACTTAAGCCCCTTGCCGCCCCCCCCCCACTGACGCCGCCACTGACATTACGTTCTCTTCCCATGACCCCGCCCACTCAGGGACCACCCCCCCAATTATGTGCGATAGTCATGGTAAGCTTGGTTTCCATAATCGCTCACCCTATCGGTGACAGTCACCGACAGATGTCGGGGAGTGAATCTGGTTCAATATTTTCCGATTGCATTGCAGACGAATCAGGGTGATTGCAATGTGAATTGGGGCGTATTACGCGAGACTTACGTAGGCCGGACCTTAGTTTATACGTACGGACAATGACATCATCAATATTAGTATTTAATAAAACACAGGCCTATAAGAGATTATAATTCCTATTTCATTCCTGATGATGACATAATTAATGTCGAAACATTGAATCCTGACACGATGGCGTTGTATTTGTCTTATAAGAGATTAGATCATTGTCAAATGAAGTGTTGTCAACGATACAAATTACAAAATTACAGGGTACAAGTAAACAAGTGGCCGCCGAAAAGGATCTTCTGAAACCAACAACATGGATTTGTGTCTATAAAACGCGGTGTTTCTAAAACCTACGCGAGATGAAAAAAAACCCAAAAAAACAAAACAAAACACTACCATGGTGAGGCGTTATGATGTCATAAAGCCCTTGTAAAAACGAGGTTCTACTTATCCTCTATAACGCTCACGTCTATCCTTAGTAAATACAGAATTTCTGTAGCTCCTAGATTTGTCTTGAGTGGAAAGATTTTCCGTGCAACTACGGAAGTTTCGTAGTGCACTTGAGAAGTCATGCCACTTTCTTAAGTTCCCCCTCCTAATTTGAATAAGTGTGCCTAATTAGGGCCACCAAGAAGTGACAGAAAGGAATGAATAAAGAGTTGGTGTGGGCCCCCAGTTACAGCGCGAAAAAGATTGATTGTGTCGGAGGCGCCAAACATGTTTTTTTTTTTTTTTTGGTGGGGAGGGTTTGTCAATCTAGAGGGGCCCATGATAGCAATTATTATTTTTGGAAAAAGTGTTGGGAAAAAAACAAAACATTTCTATGGGCCCATGGTTTCTTGTCCCTCTCTCCGTGGCCCTCTGCCCCTAGTTTTGAAGCAATTCCTAAAAATGGTTTGAGCTGTGAAATGGATTCTCTTTTTTATCCCCCCTATATTTTCAAAATTTCAGAATGAGGATGCTGCTGGACGGACAAAAAATTGTGAGTTGCGTTTTTTGAACGCTGCGCTCACATCGCGCACGAAAGATGTCTGAAGAGGTAGCTCACAACTGGGCTCATAAAGTGACTTGATAAAGCATTACTTTTTCTTGAGACTGGCAAGTTATTTACTTAGGCCTATTGTAGGATATAAAAGAAATAACATAAAAATAAAAAGTATTCTAAGCATGGGGGTATACAAAAGGCCTATGCATTAGCGATTTGTAACAAATTATTGAAATACAAGCTACTGTTGTATACAGAAAGCCGTATGTAATACGATACCGTACTGTGTCAATTCCATTTTAATCTTTATTTGATATCCAGTTCCTGCAAATGATGATAATCACCAAATAGCTACATTTCGTGACTTGCAACGTTTGCGAAATAATAATAGGGAGCTTTTCTATTGCATGTATGAACGACCCCTTCAATTTGCGCCGAAATTCCAGTCCTAGTTTCGCAGCATCGAGCGAAGTTTCTTTGCTTAGTGGATTTTTAATAAACTTTAATCGAACAAATAGGCCTTTTGTATTGTATTTGCAGACTGAAAGTAAATTAAATGTATCAAAAATCAATCACCTTTTATTTTTGTATTGATTTACGCTCGCCTATGCTCAGTGGCGTATTCAAGGGGGTGGGACCTAAATTTTAAGTTTAGGAGTGCAATTTCCGGCATTCTAGAGGTGACATAATCACAAATGTTCCTACCTCAACCCCTAGCATGGTGGGGGAGAGGTGGTATAGACCCTACCCAGTACGGTACCCAGTGGAAGATTCATGGGGGCCCAGTCGGCCCGCTCTGCCCTAAATTGTTAATTTTTTTTTAATGGAGATATCAGGGGCGGATCCAGAAATGTCCAAAAGTGGGGGGGGGGGGGAAGGGGGGAAGAGGTGGCCGAAAGTTGGGCCGATTGAGACAACACTGTCGTAGAGTGTCCGGGGCATTCTTGCGAAAAGTTTGTGTTCTAGACATCCAAATATAACATTTGAGGCATTCTGGGCTATCATTTTTTCTTTTTCTCTCTTTTTTTCTTTTTTTTTTTTTTCTTTTTTTACCTTCCGAAAAGGGGGACCGGACCGGGGCCGGGCCGCCCCCACCCCCTAAATCCTTCCCTGGATATAAAGAAAATTAGGCCTATATATTTAAATTTTATGTCTGGAAGTGCAATTTCCGGCCATCTAGATGTGCTATCTTAATTTTTTTTTACCTCAGCCCCAACCATGGTGTAGCTGAGGTAGTAGATGCTTTGTCTGTCAAAAGTACCACTCCGCCCCTTCCCCTCAGGCCTATTTCGAATTCCTGGATTCGCCACTGGAAATTGCCTACAACAAATATGAAGTCATATTACAGCTTGATGCCAATTCTTTCTTATCTTTGCTTAGGTTATTTTTTGACTTGGTTTTCATATTATAGGGTCTACATTTATTTTCCTATTGAACGATTTAATTAACCACTTGACTGCATTGGCAGATCTGAGGGGGGGGGGAGGGTCTGACCCCCTCCCTTGAGCAAAAACATAAATAAATAAATAAAATTTAAAAAAAAATTAAAATCTAGACCTACCTTTTTACACGTGAGTTGATTTTTTGTATTTTCCTTTCTTATTCTGACCTCCAACCCCCATCCCCCTTATAAATTTGAACCGAGATCCGCCCTGTGAGGGCCCTGTGACTGCAATGCTATTGATTGACTTATCGTATTCATAGATAATCATGGTTATACCCATAATTAAATAGTACAGTAATACATTGCATATAAAAATATTGGACCTAAATGGCTCTATAATTTTAAGTACTGTATGTAATCATAGTCAATAGTTCTATTGACTATGATGTATGCCATCCTTCTTGTGATCATGCGAGAAACTCTACTGTAGAAATTGTTGGAATATATTCTGTGTGCTGCCCTCTATTATTATTTATATTTGCTTTTGTTTGGTATTATACGCCGTAAATATTTTCTGAGAGGGGATCGTCGGGAAGAGCTGTTTTGGTCTGATGCTTAGGAAACGAAGTAGCCAGAATTATGGTTTCATTGTGGCGTTTTAGTAGTAAAGAAACGCGTTATGTCCCGTTGAAGTCGGTTGTATATCAGCAGATCGTAATGGTGTCCTTCTTAGAACACATAATTGAGGTGTAAAGTTCTAAAACTTTGGCCGCCTAGCCAGGTTGACAGGAGTCAGAGTAGTAGTAGTACGGCTGCTGGTAGAAATTTTCACTCTGACGTTTCCCCTTTCTTCCAGGTCAATTGATTCAGCAGGTAGGTAAAGGTTGTACAGTAATGTGAGATACAGTAGGCCTAGGCAATAACATATAAGTGTATGAATCGGCCTTTTGATCCACGAATGTATTCACTTGTTGACTATTATCCTCATGCAAAGGGTGTGTTGTGTCGGCAATGATTAAGTTCATTTTCTTATGAAGAAGAGAGAGAGAGGGTCACTCACAGTAAATTATTAATATATGGATGGTATCGAGTTCACATTCATTCATACTCACAAGGCTAGGCCTACTACTACTACTAGGCCTAGGCCTATATAGGGCCTACTGTAGTTGGCTAGCAGTTTATTATAACGACCTTATTAAAATCTAGCTTGTTATGATCTGCCTACAGTGGTTACTGTATACTAAATATACAATACAAGAGAAACAAAGTACCGAATTAATATTATTAACGTTAACGAAGAATCTGTCTCGTCTGCCATGAAATAATGGTTTCAGTACTCCAGTTACTTGAACCAGTACTTCACATGCTGCATCGTAACCAATGTAGCTGACAGATCCATCTCCGCTCTTTGGGAGCTTGATGACACAGTGCCATCTGCTAATTGTTGATGGCCATCTGAGCTGATTTCCCTTAAAATGTACTAATTTCATGCGTGCTTCGTCATGTTGCCTTCTCCAGATTGTGTCATACAAATGTTTGCATACATGTAGCATTGGTCATGTAATTGTGCTTTAGTGCTTGACAACATTTTCGAATAAATATTAAAGCAAAACATGGTAACTTTACAGGGGCGTACGGTGAAAAATCTATGAGGGGGGGTCGAAACGAAAGCGCAGGGGGAAAGCTGAACTCGGAGCAATTTAGGGAAGCTTTCAGAATTCGCAGGGTGCGTTATTTGTGAGTATAGCGAGCATATTTAAAGAGCACTTTCTTTAAAAAGGGGGGGTCGACCGCACCCATTGACCCCCCCCCCCCAACGGTACGCCGCTGCTTTATTACTCCCATCCAATCAGCGTTATATGGTGGAGTGGATTATTGAATGCCTAGTTTGATAGTAACTAGATCCAGTTGCCTGACCTCCAAAATGATAATTGGACACTGGGAATGTACAGTACTACAAATGCAATGACTAATATTTTGACTCCTCTGTAAAGAAAAGTCCTGGATCTGTTCTGTTTGTTTCCCTACTGTATTTCTATTTACATCAATTACAAAAAATAGTGTTTTTTATCAAAATGATTGTATAGGAGCATCGGCCTTCATAGAGGTGTGGTTTCCTTTATACATGTTATCTCCTATAGTTTGATATTAGATAAGTGATTAATTTCCGAACATGTGTATTATATTTTTTGCTATCTAAAAAAAAATATTGGCACTTATCCTCACTGAATAGTGATAAATCAACCTTGTCTTGTTAAACATGTCACTAGAGATCATTAGTATACTAATTCATTGATTGGACGACAACTATTGTAAATTGTAGAATATTTTGTCATATTGCATGGATGTACTGTAGTGAGATGTGGCTGTACCAGGATTTCCAAGTTAGAAAAAACATGTTTGGGGGATTCGTTGGAAGCGAAAGCATGGTTCACTCCCTGAGCTCCAAATTGGTCGTGCATTTTTTTGCTTTGTAAAAAGTAGAAACAGTTTGAACTACTGATTTCGCTGAATCAAAAAACTCTTGATAGAATCTGATAGAAATGATATCTGTCTCTTATACACATCTAGATGTGTATAAGAGACAGGTTTATGCCTATCCAGGGATGTGTTATAGTGGCCTACCTTTTAATTCAAGGTACATGACATGTGCAGACAATGTTTACAGTAAAAATAACATTTTCTAAAACAAGGAATGAAAGTACTGTAGGATCCAAAATAACTCGTGAAATTTCCTTAAATCTCATAACTGACGATGAAATTAAGGAATTAATAGATTCCATAGACATAATGGAATTGGTTATCATGGCTCCCTATTCTGTACGTAGTCATAGCAACACGTCTTGTAAATTTGATAGTGTTTGTGCGGGTTTTTGTTTTTTTTTTAGCAATACATAGTTAAGAAGAGCCTGTTTCCTTTTTAAATATTTAGAGAAAATGAAAGAATTACAGGTATGTCATATGTATTTATTGTTTAATTGTTTTTGCTAATAACCCTTTTAAGAAGATGACTTTGCACTTCGTAAAGTAGGCCTAATGTATATTACATCAATATGAGTTCAAATCCTCATACCAATTGACAAGGATGCGAAGCCCCCCCCCCCCACAAAGTCACGAAAACCTTAGACAATGGCAGCTAGACTTACTGAGTTGGCGAAGATTTTCTTTGCTATCAACCTTCTTTAAGAAAGAGAATTCAGGGAAGCGGTATGCAAATGAATCATATATTCATAGTGTTAATCTATTTCATGGAACATGGCAGGGAAATTGTTGTAAGCCTCTGCATTTTGTTCCCAAAGGAAGAGGGAAAAGCTGCTTTCAGTCAACCTTGTTGTCGGCAAAGGCCAAGTCACTGATGCGCACTGCTCGTGTAAATTTGGGTGTCTATAACCAAGCATAGACATCTAGGCCTAGGCTCACGTATGTTTCACGTTTAAACCAGCTGTCTAAGGAAATTAAAATGCCCGAGAAAAAGTTTTGATCACGTGACTAAGTGACGCTCGCTGATTAGTCGGTTAATTTGTCAATCAAATCTCATCGAGACGTTAATTATGAGCCTATGGTCTGCTCCTGGGTACATGTACAGTACACACTACAATTATTAAATGAATACTGCAGATTTTTGTTTTAATTGTAGTCATAATCAAGAATTGAGTAACTGATAAAAAATTTAGTCAGTATTTTAACAGCCTATCTTCATTAAGAAAACAGGGTTTTTATCTGAAATGTCAACATACAGTTTAATGTTTACATCCCAAAATACTTGAGGTAATATAGTACATTAAGAGTTTATCAGTAGTTCAACGTGGTGATTAGAAGTGAACTAGCATGAAACTTGTCAGTATTTCTTACTGTTAAACTGTGATTTAAAAAGAATATTTGCATGCATTTCAGGAGTAAATGTGTCTACACAGCATGAATGGCTTATTGTGTTATTGATTGAAGAGGTTTGAGTAACAGTGGCGGATCCAGGGGCAACAGTAGTCTAGTTCAGTTTCTGTGTCAAAGGTCAGACAAGGCATATAAACAGGCAATCAAGTGTTGACTCACTTTATGCGTAAATTCAAATAATGTGGAACCATTTTCTGAAAAATTGACCCATACGCAAAATATGAGAAACCTGAAACCATTTCCTTAAAATTTGACCCATTGTACACAAAGTATGAGAAATCTGGACCCAGTTTTAAAATATGGATTCATTCTTTGTGGGCCCAATAGAAAAATTGTGTGGGATTGTCCCAACTGCCATTGCTCAAGATACAGTTAACATGAATGTTGTTAGCCTACAATACTCCCTAAGATATTCCTTAGATCTTTTCACATGATCCGTGCAGGTCATTATTCACTGGTGTTGTGTGTGTCTTCACTGTCTGTGTCTATTGATACCGACTTTGACTAAGTTTTTAATTCACATGATTACCATAATATACATAATAATAATATTTCTATAATATAGTTAATGTGTTTGCTTAAAAACTCATCATGGTACTCAGGCCTTAATAACTTACTGTTTCATCAACTAGTCCATGCTAGCAAACCAGATTTTACCAGCCTACAGGCTTATTTTGCCCACCATGTTTTTTATATTGCTCTCCATGTCTCATTTTTGGTATTAAAAATGAAAAATATTTAAAAGAAATATGCTAGGTTTATTCAGTATCTTTCAAGAAATGATATTAGTTTAAATTATGCTCTTGGATGATTAATATTGCATTAAACACTTGGTGATGAACAAAACCTATTTTAAGTACTGTAGGTGATGTCTGTTTAGCGAGAGAGCTACAAAGTATACATATATTTTTATTATAGGCAATATTACATCTATGAGTGAGATTTTGATCCTTAAGCATGAGAGCGAATCTCGAATGCGCGAGTCATGCAAAATGCGAGCCTAGGTGTGTACAGTATGTGATGGTGATGTTGCACCATGAGCATTATAGTACAAATTTGGTTGTCTCTCTGACAAATGAATAAAATACTGTATCTGTTGGCTAGGCTTGTAGAGTACTGTACATGTACTATACGTTACATATGCCTATTTTCAAAACATTTATTAGCTGCTTTTATGGTGAGTGTGTTATTAATACCCCATGATACAACAGCCATATATATGCCTGGGTGCAGTTCACTGCATTGTTATATAAAGGTTGACATTCGTAATTAATATTCTAAGGTTTCTTAATTACGGTATATAATTTACATTCTCTTTGTATGGCTGCAAAAACAGATCAATTTTTGGTTTGAATATTGATCTGTTTCTAATCCTTTGGATCATTTCTCATAGTGAAATTAGTTTATGAGATTAACTATATATTAAAATATTTATACACATGTTGTGAATATTTTATAATTATTAATTTTTATTAGCTTATTTTAAAGGATAAAAAATGAATAATAAGAATTGACTTTCTTTTTTATATAATTTACATACATTTCTACAAAAATCTTCAATTTTGCTAAAATCCAATTTCTGTGTCACAAATAATCTACAGATTACAGAAGATCCTGTATTTATTATGATTGTGGAAGTTGTGTTTAAAATATTAAATGTTGAAATACCTTAAATATACAAAGCGATCAAATATTAAAATTTATTCACTTTTATTTATTAGCTGAATACCATCTACAAAGTTTTAAAAATGATGTGTCCTCAGGGCAAGTCTATGGTTTGGCGGTACAGTAGTAATAAAATACATCTAGTATCTCAGTAGACATTAAGTTTGATTGCCATTTAGTGGTTTTAACCATTTTATACATACAGTTAAACAAAATATTGTGCTGTCTTTCAGTGCATTTATCATGAGGTCAGCCATGGTCTAATTTATTTCATATTGGTGATCGTTCAAAATAATGTGAGAACTGCACGCGTATTCCCTGACATTTTGTCTACCATGTGCTAAAATATTTTGTGTGAGGGAATTTTAAGTCGTCTTTTCTTTTGGTTTTTTTTTTTTTTTTTTTTTTTTTTAATTTTAATTGGAATTTTGTTTATTGCAAAATGATTGCATGATAAGCCACTAATGTCCAAAGAATTTATTTTTGTTGGGGTCCTTCTGGTGGTAAATTAGGCAGTGAACCAGGAGTCAATCCCCTGTTCTTTTCTAAAAAGTACTGTGTTCTTTAATATGCTTATGGGCCATATTGCACAGAGAACCAAAATGGTATGTATCACATCAGTTAAGTTGTATTTCAGAACTCCAGCTACTGTAAAATACAGGGAGAGCTGATATTGGAAATGAACCGGGATCAGAAAGGATACACACTTGTAGCTACCACAAGTTTAATGGAGATAATCTACTCCTATATCATAGATCATGTTGAAATGCTGTTAATACAGTATAACATTATGTATAAATAGGTGTTTACATCGCATTTATTTGCCCCTGTAAAAGACCATCTCCTCAAAGTACTCATAGTTCATATTTTGTGATAGATCTTTCATTTTAAATGGTGTTTTTGTCTCATTTTTTTTTTAGAAAGAAAAGCAATGCCAGTTCAACAAATTAGCGTCGCACCTTTGGCGGCAGAAGAATCTATACCTGTCAATTTACGAGTTATTAAAGATGATTCTTCAGAAAATGTAAGTACTTGACAACCCAAGGGGATTCTATAATCATTAGAGTTCCAATCCCACATGACACAAGGTAATTTTCGTTGAGCCCGTAATAATATTCCTATTTTTGTTTTGTAAAGTGAAGTAAATAAAAATTTCAAATTTATGACATACCAATTAAGTAAAATATGAATAATAAATTACTGTATAAGTAATAGATCATGTGGAAGTACAAGTATAAATTGAAATTAATAAATATATTAAAGGTCAGAAGTTGGCATTTTGAAAGTGCAGTGCTACCCACGGATCCATCAGTTTTTTTTAAATGTTCAGTAAGTTCCATTATTGTGATTACTTCAGATTTAAATTTACAATTAATTAGTAAGTACTGTAGATGTCTATCCCAATATTGCCCCAAACTATTCTCCCACCACTTAAAATATTTTAATAGCATCTTGTCTAAGGAATTCTTTTAGCCTAGTATAGCATCATGTCTCTGGCTAACAATTGCGACTTGTAACACATTCATTTAATAAGAAAATGTTGATAATTACAAAGACCTTTCTACTGCAGTACCAAATGATTAGTTAATTAACTATCAATGAGTAATGGGTCTATCAAGGATTGTAGCTATCAAAGCTTTTGACTACTGTGATCTGTCTGTGTTTGTACTCGGGCTTTAGTGTGTGATACTGCTTTATCTGACATTTATTACAGCCATGGACGAATAAATTATAACACATCAATATTGTCTTACCTACAGAGTCACATGCCATGTAAAGATGATCGAACTCAGACCTCACAATCGTTAGGTTGCAAGGCTGCTCGCACACTTCCATTTCCATACATTACATTAAGCACAAATTTTTTTTTTTTTGTCATGGATTTTTTCGAAAAATGAAAGTGGACACTACAGTAGTTATTTTTTATGCATGTAAAAAATGGCATGAAATAGTGTTACAATGTGGCAATCAATATTGTTTTGTTTTGAGGCCTTGCTCCGACTTCCTTTGGTACTGTAACTGGGTTAATTTACTAGAGATTTTACTAGCCTATAGATTATGTTACTAGCCCACTATATTTTCTTAAGCCTGTATGTATGTATGAAGGAAAAAGCTTGCTTAATTTTCACTAAACCACTGGGCAACATCAGGTGGTAGGAACACCAGGCTACTAGCCTGACCAGTTTTTACTAGACATGGTACGCTGGGCTAGTACTAAACCAGGCCCTGGTTTTCCATCAACTTTTAAAGACTTTTCAGTTTGTTCGAACTTATGTATGTCAAAAATCTTTTAACAAACCTCGCTTTATGCAACAGATCATAAATTTTGTAAATTTATGATTAGATTGGTCTGTGTTTATAATTTTGTTTCCTTCACATTGTATACGATAGTACAATGCATACTGTATGGTAATTATATAAAATTGACATAAATATGTCAATAATACTGGTAGACTGCAAATGCAATTTTGTATACCATCTCATTTCATTATATAGTGTATTGTTGATGTGGCATACATTCACGCTGGAAAAATACAAACTTTATGAGGTATTTGCTGTGTACGTAGATGGTATCGATCTTTAATCTAGATTCAACATTGGTAATATGATATCCATTCAGAAATACATTATTTTTTATTGATTTTACTTTGGCTTTCTGTAATAACCTTATTTTAAATGTCATACTGATAAAAAGTAACTGAAGTGGAATTACATACAAATTTCTGAATGTCTGATTAAATTGTAAATGTAAAAAGTCAAATTTCTTTACTGTGAACCAAGTTCTCAAGATATTTTTAAATAGTTTATGAGGGATAATAATAAAGAGTTTAATAAAGAGACTGAAACCTGACCAACAGCCAATCTAAATAATCCAATGTCAGCTTTTATTTTTATGGTGGTTCTGTAGGGAGGAGGTTGGGAGGCTATCGTCAGATGGAGTGAAAATAGTTTTTTTCCCGAGGAAGACATTAAAATATTTGTATAAAGTTTGGAAAGGACATCTTCAACACTTTCAACTTCAATTAATTTGTTACTTTAACCTTTGAAATAAAGCTGGTTACCATTTTACCGGCCCACGTGCATCTGTACAGTGAGTGATAGAGCTACATTCACTAAACATGATCAGCATCTCCTCTACAATATCAAGCTTACAGTAATTTTCTCACCATGATGATGGAAAATTTTTGATAAGGAAACTGAATACCATCAAATATTTACATTAATTAAAAAAGAGCATTGAGGCTTTTAAATACTTTAGTGAAACAAAATTTACATAATGCGTAGATGCCCAAACTGACTGATTATTCTGAGAATGAACTGTTATTACTGTGCAAATACAAAAGTGTGTGAACAATACCCTGAGGCTTTCCTTCATAACCAGGCAAGGTAACTAGGCAAGGTAACTAGGCAAGGTAACTACTGTAGGCAAGACTGTTTTTTTTTTATACCTTGTTTAGAGAACCTGTCGCCAGCCAATAACGATGATTTTGAATAAAAATAAAATGTTTTTCTTGGCCAATTAGTGTACCCGCCTGCCACCTTAAAATCTCCAAAAATACCTGTAAGATATGTATATTTCTTTGTAATTATATAAATTTAAAGCATTTAACTTTCTCAACTGTTTACATTCAACAATAACATTTTATTTTTCTTTTTTCCTCCATTTGGATGTTTTTGTCAAAACTCTTTGCTAAATGAAAAACCAAAGTTTTTTTTTTCCGCCCTGTAACTTTTCCTAATGAAATACCATAAGGTGCCCGAATAAGCAACTCGACGCTTATGCAATTTTTGGAGGCTTCCCTGCGGCGCTTATTCGAGAGCTGCGCTTATAAAAAAAATATTGGCGTGCAGCTTTCCATGCCCGTTCCCATGTAACCTATCTCTCGTTTTCCTGTTGTTCAATAGGCCTATCATAGGTCCTACGTCATCGTAAATAAACATTTATAAAGAAATGCATGCGTTACTGGATGACCGAATACAGGAACGCGGCAACCTACAGCCAAAAAAACAGCGCTGATTCAAACAGCACACGCTCGCCTTTGGTTCCGGTGGTGGAACAATTTTCTCGGATAAGGACTATAAACCGTAGGCCAAGTGTACACAATGTGGCTTGTGTGCACTATAAAGAACCCAGTACATCTTTCAAGACAAGTAGGGGGTTACCCCTGTGTACTGGTCCATACAGCTCCTGCTGTTTACAGATGAGAGTAGCTGGTACTGGCTTACCAGGTAGCTCAGACACGAAGAGACACTTAGGAGAAAAGAAAGTTACAGTACGAGCAGTCCACAGCGTTTTGAAACTCAGATAAAGCACTATATAAATCAAACTACATTACATTATTGTACATTTGTTCATTTTAACATTGTATTTAAAACCTGTCTCTCAAAGTGTTTTATTACGCAGAAGGTAATATTATACTTTCGATTAAGTGCCGCGGCACTTACCGAAAAAAAAGCAGGTTTGGTGCTGTGCTTATTGAAGTATTGACGATAAGTTCGCAAAACAAGGTATAGAAAGTCTTGCCATAGATGAAATAAATGATAATACAATAATTACACACAGAACATCAGACAGAGATTAAAAGGGATAATTAAAATTTTAATTAAGTGATTTTATATAAAAAAGACAAAGTAATATTAATATTGCTTTGAAGCTGAATTTTAAATTCACTAAATTGAATTATCAGTGGATGTTTTTAATGTTGGAATGTTTTACAGTCTACTTCAGAATGTCTATTCTCAATGGTCTTAAGTACATCATAAAAATATCGCATTCAAGATGCATCTGGCTCTATTTTGTGAGATATATTTTATGATCAAGTGTACCATTGTTTGTTAGTTTCAATTTTGGAAAATGCTTACAAAAGGATTGCTAAAAAAATCAGACAACATGTCTCTCTGTACTTATTAATTATTTACATTGATATGTAAACAGTATAGTTCTGATGAAAGTAATCTAGGCCTACTGTACTATAGCTTCCTATGTTTGTTTTTATTTTTAACCAACTGCAGAATGTGTTTTACTAGTAACTTAGTGTAAAACAAACTACAGAATATGAAGAAACTCTCTTTTAATTTCATTACATGAATGTAATGTACATAATTCAGCTAATCAGATCTATTATCTTGTAAATGAAAAAAAAAATCAATGTATTGTTATATATTTATAATATTAATTTTGTTTCATTTATATTATAAACAAATAATATTATAAATAAGTAATATTAATTTTGTTTCATACATAACATTAACAAATAATATTAATTTTGTTTCATTTGTAAGATTAATATTATGTTTATTATAAGAAGTAATTAATTAAACAACATTATATTAGACATTCAACTAATTATACAGTAAATTTTACTCTACCAAGTAAGCTAATTATGGCTGTTTGAAATAAGAAATTATAAACATAATAAATTGATTTGTGTGTTTAGTATTGAAAGTTATTTAACATAAATAAATTTTAATATTACACAATTCATTATGTTTTCTTAATATTTGACTTCTGTCTCTCAGCAATGAGATGGCATTTCAGTGTCCAGTCTAATCCTTGCAAACAGACACATACCTGGGGCATCTTGTATTCTATATGGCGTAGTAATATGCTATTTATGCCTTTTCATTTTATCTCATTAGTGTCATAAGTTTTTGGTCACCCAATATGGTTTGAGATAATGGTATTTGGTTGAGCATTTGAGTTGATCCCTAAATGTTGAGCCAATATCCTGTAATGTATTACAATAAATCTTCACATTTCCATTTACAAATGATTTTTATTCAGCTGTTGACAATAAACGATAAATTCAGAATATAGCTCTGTCTGATGTAGTACAGGTAAACAATAAAGAACTACTGTAAACTACACTATGTGCTGGTATTACAAAAACTGATTATTGTGGGAAAACCTCCTTAAACATTGAATTTTGCATATAAAAGGTCCGAACAATAAAGTCAACATCTAAAGAAACATGTCACCAAAACAGTTCTGTATGCACTGATTTACAGACTACGAAAATGGCA